CATTGTACTTACCAAGTTTACGACCGATATCCAGTTATGCAGATTATCTAAAATAGTAATCATCACTCTTTGCACAGGAAATCTATTTCTGTTTGCTGTTTGTTGTTTCTTTCTAATAATTTAAGAGTTTGTTAACGTGTGTGATCGTCTGTTTCTACTACTGAAAATTACAAAAATAAGACACAAGTTGTAATGTGGCATATGTAAGTATTTTGTCAGTGGTGTGATCTGAATTTGACAGCTAATACAGCAGTAACAGTGACTGTGGTGGCATTGTTCTTGCAGGGACTCCAAGAAAGACTGATGGTCCTTTTTCCTCAAGACGTCCTGCTACTCTCAGTTGACAACAATCGACTGAATCTAAGATATGAGGTAGTGTAAAATGAGAAATCTATAATACCTCTTTAACCACTGCAGCATAACTAGGCTAGGTGTCTTTACATAGCGCTTGTTCTTTTGACACATGACGTAGGCCCATAGAATGGGGGGAGCATTTTGTAACTCACACCTGCCGCCTACAACGTCACTCAGTGTATTTCAGCCAGTTGCTAAAATCAGGTTCTTCTTGTACAATCATGGTTTAATTTTATGGAAGTGAAAAATTCCTGCACGATTTAATGAACATTGTTTTCTTCCATGTCATCTCCAACAGGGCAGGTTGGCTCGAAACAGCATCAAAGCAGTGGAGCGATCAGCCTTGCCTGGACGGCTGGAGTTTGAGCTGATCGGTATGCTGTATATACATGATATCAATAATCTTGCTAAACGTAGCATTGGATTAGGCTATAGCAAATCTAAGCGCAGTGAAATATACATTCATTTCATATCATCACTGTTGTGTTTTAGGTGAGCTGGTGGAAACCCTGCAGGTCTCTTGTGTCTGTCTGGAGGATTATCGGAACTGGATGTTTCAATTACAACAGGTTAGACTGTGCTGTCTGACGTCTTTAAAGGAATAAACAAATTGTGAAGAAAATGCAGTACCAATGGGTTATGTGCTGTGAGTCAAGATTTAGATTTTGTGATTTTGCCTTCTTAAATGATTCAATTTGACTAGTTTTTAGAGATCAGGGGAAGTAAAACTATGTAGCAATTTATGGGGAAAATATTTAAAGCTGGTGTAATTGATATTTTTCATATTAACAGTGAATCAAATAACTTTGTGTAATATGAAAAGGGTTGCTCATAGTGACACACCCACAGATAAGTACAAAGAGTCTATCATTATTTTGGTTGTCTGGCCCACAACTTTACTATTTGATTCAGTGTCATCACTCTCATCAGCGTTATTTCCAAACATAGCAGGCAGCTGTTTTAAGTGAAGTAGTTTTAAAACCCCACTGTACACTACCTGCCCTGTACCAACTGACAGGTGAAATTAGAAACAGGTGAGCTAGTGGAGCATTTAGCAGCTAAAGAACCAGATATTTCCTACAGGAGCTGAGGTAGGCCAAAACAGAGCTAAACCAGAGAAAAAGGGGGATGAATATTGGGCCTCCATTGATTACTCCATATAAATAATAATGTTGCTCCATGTCTGTAGGATGTGTCAGTTAGCAGATGTCAACTAATAGGTTATTCAGAACAACTGAAAAAATGATATTGCAGTAGTATTGCAAACGTTATGTGCACAGTTTGTTTCTGCTGCCCCAAGTGGCCAAAACAAATCAGTTATGGCAGGTTTAAGATTTAAGACAACCAAGACAAGAACTTGTGGATGTGGGACGAAGACTTCTAACTTAGCCACTAACTAGCCCCTTTAAAGTCAGTCATAGTTTTCTTGATTCAGTACTACTTTTGAAGTCATAAAGTTTGTGTTTGCAAGAAATATTCATGTGTGCCAAGGTGATGTCTAATACCTTAACAGGAAAGTAACTTTGCATCAACAAGATTTTCTCTTTGATCTGCAGCCAGACAGAAACAGCCATGTTATTGGGTGTCACGCTGGACCTCCAGTCATGCCAAAGCTGCAGAGGAGCAGGAAGGAGTCCCAGGAACCGATCATAACAGCCGACCAATGTCATATCAATGGACGCAGCTGACTCATTAGAATGTGGAAAATTCACTGTTATTATAAATCTAAAATAAAATGTGTAGATAGTATATTTGAATTTAAACACTTTGTTTATCCCCGAGGCGCAATTGCAAAGACCTAGGTCTTGAACAATTCACATTGAGAAACATCATAATAAACAACCTAATAATAACTAAACGTTACCATTATAGTTCAATATAGAATTAAAGCCTTCTAATTTGCAGACGGATGAGGTAACAGTCCAATGTTGAAAGCAATTTATAAGTCACTGATTGAGTGTGTGTGTGTGTGCCTGAGTGTTTGCTGGGGAGCGAAATAGGTAGTGATCAGGGTAAGAAGGGTTTCAGGGATGGTTGAGAGTTGAGGAGCTGAACGGCCTTGGGTACAAAGGTTGCTCTTCTCCTCTGAGTTCTGCAGCCTGGACAGCGCAGCCGCCGTCCTGAGGGAAGCCACTCAAATGAAGGGAACAGAACATGTGAAGGGTCCTATAAGATCCATCCAGCTAACCTCAGCATCTGCTGCTCACATATGGTGGAGAGGGCTCTGACAGGGAATCCAATCATCTTGGAGCAGACTTTGACTGAGCTTTGCAGGCAGTTTCTGCTTTGCAGACTGATGGAGTAGAATCAGCATGAAAAGGAGAATGTCATAACACTCTCAATGAAGGAGTAGTAGAAAGTTTTGAGGATGTACTTGCTAACCCTAAATGAGTTGAGCTTCCTCAGGAGAAATTGCCGCTGCTGGCAGGATCTCCTCAGTGTTTCAAATTTCATAAGATTGTTGAACATTGTGCCCAAGTACTTCTACTCACCAACAATTTCTGCATTCTTCTCGTGAACAGTGGTGCAGTCTGCCACGGCCAGTTCGCTCTTCTTGGTGGAAGAGGTCACTACCATCTCCTTGTTCTTGTTTACATTAAGTTCCAGGCAGGATTTATCACACCATTCCACAAACTCATGAAGAGCTGGGCCGTGGTGCTGTAGGGAGCCTGAAAGCAAAGATGGAAGAACTGTATCTACAGCGAACTTGAGCAAGTGAGATTTTGGCTGGGGGACCTACAGTCATCGGTGTAAAGAATGAAGAAGTGAAAGGATACAGCCTTGAGGGGAACCAGTTGATGTGTACAGGACATCAGATAAATTGCCACTGACCAGGACTCTGTGACCTGTTGGTAAGAAAGTCCATTATCCACAAAATGAGTTGGTTGTCTAGGTGAAAATGAGTAGAGAGTTTCTCATCCATAATATGTGGCAGCAAGGTGTTAAATGTCGAGGGGAAATCTGCAAACAGAGGTCTGGCTGAAGTGTTGGGAGATTCCAGATGCGTGTGGAGTCTGTAATAAATACCTTCACCCACCCCTCTATCTGTGAGGTTGGCAAACTGAAGTGGGAATGATTTTTGACGACCCTCTCCTTAGCTTTCATTACCAAAGAGGGGAGAGCCACAGGCCTGAGGTCATTGATGATTTTAATAGTACCTTTTTTTTGGTATGGGAATAACTATGGAGTCCTTCCACAGCTGAGGGATTGTGCCATCATCCAAGGATCTCTGGAACAACACCTGTATGACGCGTCGCAGCTGCTCGGCACAGTACCTCAGGGTACTACCACTGATGTTATCTGGGCCAGTTGCTGTGTTGATTTTTGTCTTCTTGAGGGCTCTCACCACATTGTTTGTGTTAATGGTGAGGGAGGAGTCGCCAGGTTTGAATTTGGAGATGGCCTCAATGAGCTGAATGCTGTTATCTGTCTCAAATCTAGTGAAAAAGGAATTGAGGTCATTAGGTAATAATGCTGGGCTGCTGCCTGCAACGTGATGTTGCTTGCAGGAAGTGGGTGCAGTATTCACAGCTACCATGTTCTTGATGCCTTGCCAAGCTGTGCGGGTGTTCTCTTTCGTAAATGAATGTTCAACCTTGTCTTTTTTTAATTTAGCAATTTTGATGGCTTGCTTAACTTCTCTATTGACCTTCTTTTTTTTCAGTTTCAGAGCCAGAGAAGAACACTCTCTTTTTCTTGTTCAGTATTTCCATGATGCTTTCCAAGGTTTACTGTTGAGAGAGATAGTAACTTTTTCGATGGGGATGATTATTGTCCACACAAGAGGAGATATATAATGAGACCGTGTCCACTTGCTCATTAATGTTGCTGGATGGAGCTATAAGGTTTTTCCTGTCCATAGCTTCAAAGCATGACTCTGTAGCCTGTTATTGCTTTCATCAGTCCACTGAGTTGTTGAATTGAATAGTTTTAATTACCTAATTAGACCTCAGTACAACGAGCAAAAGTGAGGGTGTCAGCTGAATCAAGAGGTGGTAGGGCAACAGATTTATATGGCTCTGGAACTAGGCCGCAGCATTTATCCAGTATCTTCCCCCAGCGGGTTGTGCAGGTGACTTATTGGTGAAATTTATTTTTTTAAACTGTATCAACTGAATAGTGGTTAAAATCAAAATGCTCTATGGCTGTGGCTGCATTCACTCTAGGATGAATATAAACCAGGATAAAAAAGAGTGCTGTGGGAGTTCCCTAAGAGGTAGATATTAGTTTTATATATGATTGTGCCACAAAATGGAGATATAGCAGTGAACAGGTTCTGAAATGTTCTCACCCTAATTCTGATATATTTGGGTGATTTTGTCACTCTGAGGGACTGAGAAGATACTTATAGTTCTCTTTCATGTGGGAGCAAACAGAAACAAGGTCATGACCCAGTTTAAGTCCATACCACAGCTGAACAAATGTTAGAGTTAGAGACTGTAGAGCTGTAAAAGTTACTAAAGAAAATAGATCTAAACATACTGTACATATTTAACTTTGATGTTTTTACCATGCAATATTTTGACTTTTTCACAATAAACTGTTTAAAAACTCTCAAGAGTAATTCATTCAACACGACATAGAATTGAAGTATCTGTATTTATTTCAATGGTTAAACATTTACAGAAGTGTGCAGAAACATCCAGTGTATTACAATATTTATATTTATTGTGGTATTAGAAATGAATCAAACTAAAAAGTTTAGAATTATGGAATGTAATAATATTTGTAAAATGTTTGTTCATATAAATTACAGTCATAAAAGGAAATGAACCATTTTCTACTCTTTATACATAAAGCAATCTACAGTAAAGTACATTTACATCAGAATCTCCTTAGAGAACAACCAGCTAGAGGAGTATAAATACACATGCTGCAACAGCAACCACTTAAATTACAACTAACAATGCAGATATAGAAAAAAGGGTTATAAACATTTCATGTGCCATTGGAAGAGTTTACATTTGAATGTTGATTATAGTGGTTCATTAGCAGCAGTTACACTGCGCTAAGGGTCATTTGGGGATTTTTACACTTAATGAGGGGAACACTGTGGATAGTATTGGCCTAAATGTAATTCAGTGCTTAGTGTATGACAGTATTACTTGATCCTGCATGATTATTGCAATACAATGATGTCTATCTTTTATTCAGCTGGGGCTAAACTGTAGCTCAAAGCTTTGAAATTGGTACATATGAAGCTAGAGATAACCAATGTAAATGCATCTCAAGGTGAATTTTATACATGTCCATTTCCTGGTTTCTAAAGGACAAGGCTGGTGTTATCTCATATTTTTCTTACTGTCAATTACCCTAAAAACTAAACAAAAACCAACAATGTCCAACCTCAGCCCAAAACCCAACTCATACCTACTGAAGACATCCATCCATCCATTGTCAACCGCTTATCCTGCGTACAGGGTCGCGGGGGGCTGGAGCCAATCCCAGCTGACGTTGGGCGAAAGGCACCCTGGACAGGCCGCCAGTCCATCGCAGGGCCACACATAGGGACAATTTAGAGCCACCTAGTCCGCATGTCTTTGGATGGTGGGAGGAAGCACCGGAGCGAACCCACGCAGGCACGGGGAGAGCATGCATACTCCACTCCAGAAAGGCCAGGAACGACCAAGGTCTGTGAGGCGACAGTGCTAACCACTGGACCACCGCGCAGAGATCTTTAAAAATGTCATAAATTGTCAATAATATATACCTTCCCCTAAAAAAAAGGCTAAACCGTTCCCTAAACAGCTGGCTGCTGTAGTTTTTAGGAGTAAATAGTGCATTTGTTGGGGACTATTTTCATCTGTAAATTAATACACATTTGGTGCTTTAGTCAGCATTTACGTCAGTAGGACGGGTATGTGGAATCAACTCTGGCACATAAGAATAAGCTCTAAGCTTTGGTTACACACTCAGCACATCAGTTGGATCAGTTGGTGAATGGTTTCGGTCTTTTCATGGACTTTGTTGACAATAATAAAAATATAGAATATAGTCGACCCAATCCTCTAATCAGATTAGAGCACTAACAGAATAAAAAGTATTTGTGTAGTGCAGCATTGTAAAGAGGATAGTCTGTCCTTCATTTATGTTACAGTAGAATTGTGAAAATCTTCTTTAAAAATAATTAAACCACCATTTTATAGGTCAAAATTGTTACTACAGACCATTTGCAGTACACGCAGGGAGGGTGTCCTCTATAAGAAAGAGGCGAGGATGTTTTAACAATCCACATCTTTTTGTACATGGGTGGAAATGAACTGTGGCACACTGATGCATGCATCAGATATTGGATGGACTAAACACAGGCATTCATTTCTTTTCCTAACTAGTGTACATTTTTGTTAAATAAGTACAACAGAGCAAATCCTCGTCTGCCTTCTGAAATTAAAGCAGCACACAGTGTGAACAAAGAAAAGATTAAAGGCCTCTGATGTGTGCTGATGCAGCTCAGCAGCAGGATCTGCCTCAAGCGTTTTCTCTGATGTTGTAATATTCCATGAATGAACCTCTTGCACCTCAGTGCTCAGTTGACTTCATGAGATAATTCAAATTTGGAATTCTGGCCACTTGAGACCCGACTGAAGTAAAAATGCAATGACAAACTTGTTCCACTGTTCTCCTCTGACAGGAACCGAGATATGTAGTACGTTTACTACCTGTGATGGTTACCGCGCATGCATGTATACCACACTTACTACAGAGATGCTTGAAAGTTTTCTCAGACTTTAAAATTGGTAATGAAATGCATTCATAGAAAGCATGCATACAGTAATTACTCCTACAAAGTTTAGAAACTTTAGTGTGGCAAACCTGTTAAAACTGTTGTCAATAGACTCTTGTTGTATAAAAGCCTGTCCAACTTAAAAATGTAAAGGGGCATTAAAAGCTTTGCACTCTCATTTCAAAACTGTATTCACAGCTAGCATGCTAAAGGAATATGCTGATACACAGTTTAGCAACCAATGCAAAGAACAGTCAGCAATGTTGACTGGTTTTAGTACCTGCATACTATATGTAAGTCCCACATCCATCTAAAATTAAGATGATCCAGAAGCTTAACAAATGCAACTTAACAACTGAAATGCACTTTTGACCTGCGACATGTTGCAATGATTAGTCTTCCCCCTCCAGTTTTTGCGTGACACATTTGATGCGAATATTTTCTCGGAGGTTGCGGAGGCGTGCGCTGCGACTTGTGATTTCCTCCACGTAGGTTTTGGGGAACCAGCCCCGTTCCCCGTCAGACAGCCTGATGCCTTCCACCCAGCCTGGTGAAAGACAACATCGCTCAGACATGAAACAAACCACTGCACATTATCATTTGCTGCTTGTTTAGCAGCCAGTGACAGACACAAACCTAACTTTTTAAGTTACATTCCTTTAGGTACAGATTGAAGGTGGATTGCAGTTTATGTGAAAGAGGACTTCTTACCATCACTTGTAATGGTCTTAGCATGAAGAATGTCAGCCTTTTCCAGTGTTAACTCATCGTGCTCTTGGGCCTGATAGCTTTTGATGCACTGAACTTGGGATATATCTAAGAGGAAAAGACATGAAAAAAGATGCATGTGAGGATTAAAAGGTTTGAATTGACTCATAGTGCACCTAAAGCTCTCTACTGACCCTCATTCTCACTGGCCTGCTCGATGTCTTCCAGCGGATCAGATGGAAACATTGCTGTGATCCATCTCTGCTTCCCGCTCCTTGGTAGACACAAAAACGAGCAGTTAGAGCACCATCTGCTAAAGCCTCCAGCTTGGACTGAAGCAAATATAAGTCTTGACACTCACTCAGTGTGTGACTTGAGCAGGATCTGGTGTTTAAGCTGCTGGCCTTCACACAGCTGCAGGTGGAAGATGAAACCTGAGATGCCCTGCAGCTTCTGACTGAGATCCTTAACTTTCAGCTCTCCTATCTTGGCATGTACAAATACCATGAACTTCAACGTACTGCAAAAAAAATCAAATTATCAAGATCACCAACATTGTCACATTAATAACCAGCTGGTGTATCTTTAAAGCCACTATGAGTAGAATTGTTTTGTAGCTGAAGCATCTTTCAAATTATTCTGACATAGTCCTGATGAAAAGTGCATGTGTGTTTTCAGACCAGTGTCCCTGGGGTCAGGTGTTTGGGGTTGTGGTGGTAGAGGTGTGTGCACTGCTGTCTGCTATAGATTATTTCTGACTCTACCACTGGGAGGCGGCAACACTAGAAATGTTCTATCTTCAAGGAGTGTTTTCACATTTTTGGAAATGCACTTTCTTGCTGGGAGTTATATGAGAAGCTGAAAACCACCAGCTAGAGCCAGCAAAGAAATAGTCCATTACTTAAAGGTTCAGTGTGTAACTTTTAGTTGCATTTAGGAGTTGCAAATTGCAACCAGTGGCTCACGGTGCATTCAAGTGCTCCTCGGATGGTCCCATTTCCCGAGTTGTGAAGTCGTTCTTCCAAATTTAGTGTGTTCAAGTGCCCTTAAGTAGGAATGTGGAATCAACATGGATGCTACTACAAAGTTGTGTTGGATTAGCATTATCAGAGTACATAAACAACACACAGACATCTAGTTCAGTCTAAATGGACAGCAAACTAACTGTTATAACCATATTAAAAATCACCTGTTTGCAAATTATTATTATTATTATTATTTCTCTTTTGCAATAAAGATTTAAGGAGGAAAGAAAGATTTGGATTATTCCAACACCACTTGAATGAACCATCACTCATCGCTCACCTCTCCCTTTGCAAGCACGCAGGAAAAGCAGTGGTGGCCAACACGCTCTGTCTGCTCTTGTGCAAAATAATAATGCGTGGTCCTGTATTTGTCTAAATTTCTCTTCTTTTCTTACTTCAACTACGACCATCACTACCACTAACGTTACTTCTTCTTTGCATGTATTCAACGTAGTGACAAAACACTCTCTGTAGAGTAATTTGTCCGTTTAGGCTACTGTAGAAACAACATAGTGACGCAACATAGTGACGCAACATGGCGACGTCCATTGAAGGGGACCCGCTATGTATGTAGATAGAACTGGCTCATTCTAAGGCAATAAAAACATAACAGATCATTATGTAAGGTCTTTATACCCCACTAAAAACATGGTTATGTATGTTATGTTGCTTTTTTGTCAATAGATCCTCTTAAATATTACACACTGAACCTTTAACCCTCCTGTAAAACCACAAGTTCTTGTGTCACACTTTGATTTTTCTACAAATTACACGTGTTAATTAATGAGATTCAGAGGTGCTGGTCAGCAGTCTGTGTTAGAAAAATCAAGTAGGTGTCTTACAAGGTTCCGTTCTTTTAATTCAAATTCCCTCTTTGGGGGTCCCTGTGTTGAGCTGTGGTGTGCTGCACCTCCTGGTTTCTCTGTTTCTAAACCCAGTGCATTTGGACTACACAAACCCACAAATTGAAACACAATTTAGACCTTGATGTCGTCCAGTAAAACTTACAGAACAGAATAAATAGATCACCAAAAATCTAAATAACCAAACAAAGACCCTCATTTTAGCCAAATTCTCCAAGGGGTTTGGGAGGGGTTTAGTTCTTGATCTCTTTGTATCGACTGCATGTCACTCACTCCTTCCTCCTGGACAGCAGGAGACAGTCATTGAACAGGTGGAGGTACACAGGCTTAGTGGGTAACTTGAGCTTTGATCCAGAAATACTCATCGTCTGCGTGTCCACTTCCAGGAGTTCGCCATGTTTCACCAGCCAGCGGGACTGAGAGATCAGAGGAAAGATCTGCAAAGAAAGGATAGAAGTTGCTAAATAACAAACGCTTATATATACAATATACTACCAATAAAGACAAAGAAGTGAATCATGTGCCAACCACGTGAAAGACACAATAAACAATTCATCAGTCACCTTTCCCTCAAAATTTATTTTCTTATTGAGGTGAATAAGTTCCTCCATCCTCTTCATTGACTGCACACTGGAGTTACATTCTTTGATGATCTAAGAAGACACATACCAACATGGTTATTACTGCTGTGCCTCACCACTGATAATACTGGTACTCATCCAACTGGCTATTAGAGATGATAATCACCACCTTTTTTAGCTCATTGAAAGCTTTTGTGGCAGTGTCCTCATCTCGGGAGCCAGGTGTTGTCCTCTTTAAGATATTCTGAAAAATAAAGATGTTTTTGAAGACATGTTGAATAATAAACAATGTTCTTGTTACGCACAGTTGGGGAAAAAACATGCTGCAGCACAATGATTGGCCGGCCCAAATATTACCCCATTTACAGTTTTATGTAATTGGGTTTCAAGTGTGAACATGAATTCTGCAGTGAATGTTTAATCTTTAGTCTACCTCCACCAGCATTTTAAGCCGTGTGATCCTCTGAAACGGGAGGATTAGAAAAGAGGTCAGGGGAAGTCTCTGGCAGATGGGGTCCTCCTCCAAACGAGCCAGGATGCTGGGGAAACGAGGGTTCTCGTGCCTGAGAGGACGGGACAAGAAACACTTTGATAACTTTCAGTGAAAGTGGGTGTAAATTCCAGCATGTTTTTGAACCTGAGAAAAAATGTTCAGCTTTCTCTAGATGAACCGTCTGCAAGTTAAGTCATGCAGGTGTAAAATAACACCTGAACACCCTTAGAGGAAATCATGGACACACAAAACAATTGGACTTTATGCACTGCAGCCATGAATGTTCTCAGAGAGATAGTGCCTAGATACTGTTACATGAAGCACAGTATATGTTGAGGTTTCAGACAGCTGATGTACAGATGATGAAAGCAGTTACTCACAGCAAACGCTGGTACGTCTGCTCCTGGTAAGCCTGGTTGGTTACATAAGGTAAATAAACCCTTCGCAGAGATGGGCAGTGCTCTAGGACAATGTCGCACACATCAAATCGCAGAATGTCTTCCTCCAGCCTGTGCTCCAGGTCCTGAAGAAACCTACAGGGGACCAGTGAGCAGAAAATACTCTCAGAGAAGGTGACATGATTACTGACATGATGAAATAAAGACTTTAGAGCAATAGAGCCCTATCAACAGCACATGACTTCACCTCTCACTGACATCTTTGACTTCGGGCAGCTTGGAGAAAAGCCACTGCTTATCCTGAGCTCCAAGACACTCGGCAAGCTCCTGCGACAACATGAAGTGGTCCACTGCGATCGTCAAACTGCGAATGTACGATGCCTCAGACGTCACCAGCTCAAACTTTGCCTGAGTTGAGGGAGATACAGACTGTCAGCCAGCAATCTACAGTACCAGAACTAGCAGAAAGCGGTGGCATCCCAAAAGAGACACCAGCAACGACAAGTTACGAAATCTGAAATGTCTCATTCACCTCCTGTAATTTCCTTTCCTCATTGCTGAAGTTGTCGAGCTGACCGCTGCTTCGAACATCCGGGATGTCCTGCCACAGTGCAAAAGCAGAGCCGCGTGATGAGCGAAAGGAGCTGGATGGAGACAGATTAGAAGGGGAAGGGGTCCCGTCCGACTCCTCATCCCTGAGCCCCTCATCCTCTGTGCCTGGCTCCTTCCCTTGCTGCCTCTGGATCTCTCTATTGATGGCGACGTCGCTGTATTCCTGGTACAGAATTGCTGAAGGAAATATTGAAAGTGAAAAAGGATGTAATGCAATGAAGTCTCGGTTTAATTAGGAGCAGTAGCAAAACGGTTTAAGAATCAAATAGTTCAGGGAAACTTACAGCTAGGCAAAAACCGTGATAAGCGATTTGAACTAGCAACAGTTGGAAGTGTGCCAAAGTCCTCCTCTAGGGATTTCTTTCGCATTCTGTGAAAAAGTGTGAGTTGACATCAATATATGTCCTTTAATATTTGCATTTTTTGTATTAAAATATTTTAAGTCTGTATTTACCCAAGTTTTGTGCTCCACCGATGCAAAGGCATGCCATTGTCATTACTGGGAAGAGTCGGTGCAGGTCCTATAGGACTGTGGGGAGCGCTATCACTAGAACCTCCTGAGCTGCGGTACCTTGAGTTGGACTTATCTAAGGAGGACAAAAAGCCAACAGTACAGGTCAAGTCAAGTCAATTTTATTTATTTAGCCTAATATCCCAAATCAAGGGCTTTACAATCTGTAAATGACACCCTCTATCCTACCCTCGATTCAGATTTGAAGTCCAAGGAAGAAGGAGACCACATGTAATAAAGGCTCATGAAATGACCTTTCTGGAGGCACAGCTTCTTCACAGTTTGCCTGTTTGTGCTTCCTAAAGCAATCTACCAAACATGCACATGACCCCGTTACCCAGTCTTAGGGGGCAACAAATGCTTTCTTTTCTCTAGCAGCTATTTGACTTTTTTTCCTTTATTAGATGACAAGAGTTGAGAGAGCTATCAGTCAACACTGTGGAGTTCCACTTCCCCTTCCTGGGCACCATCAGGACCTCAAGTGGGAGCTAAAGTGTACTTCTTGCGGCAGCAGTTCAACCTGCCAAAGACAGTGATGGTGCACTTCTACACGGACATCACTGAGTCCATCCTCAGCTCCTCCATCACCATCTGATACGGTGCGTGCTGCCACCGCCAGGGACAAGGGCAGGCTGCAGCGTATCATCCGCTCCACAGAGAAGGTGATCGGCTGCAATCGCCAAAAGAAAGTCCTTGTATGTTTAAAAACAACTTGGCAAAAAAATCTTTCTGATTCTGATTCTAGCCTATTTTATAGTACACCACATCACTTACCAATAGGGGGTGAACCCTGAATTATGCAACTAATTTCAGTGGTAGAGTTGCAGATTTTTTTTCTCTTTGAAGCAATGGCCATCTTGAAAAGCTTGTAAAATTTCCTAAATCACATTGTCTGTTGACTTAGGCAAAATAAAACAGCCTAAGTCCCACTCTTGACATTATAGGCCATTATACTACAGGGGATGTAAACGTTTTTACCAGAGGTGGCCAGGATCATAAGGGGATTATTTTGTCAAAATATGACATAAGACATAATTTTAGGACGGTGACAATATGTAGTATTGTTTTGTAAGGGCTTTTTATGCTGCTTGATTGAATGGGTTAAGTTTCTGGACTACCTTTCAATGACAAGTTGCCATAATGTTGGTTCTGTTGCTACTCACAGTCCAGATTGGGGCTGAGGCTGTTGGAGCTCTGTCTGTCCCGGGAGGCCACCCGTGCAGACAGCGACTTCCCCAACTTCAAGGTGAAGGAGCTCTTCCTTTGAGACAGCTGGAGTCTAGATATCAGTTCTGAAGCTGAGAAGCGCCGCCGTTCTTGATCTCCTTGACGGCTCCGTGACAAAAAGCTCCCTCCTGTGGCATTTGATGTCTCTGCACTCTTCCTTTCTTCCCCCACCCCTGGGATCGGGTCCTCTATTATATGCAGTGGTTCTGCAGATAGATGAAAAATATCATCGTGACTGAGGTCTGGGAGATCTGTAACACCGTCTGTGGATGAAGGACTTGAAATGGCCTCCAGGGAAGATAATCCACTAAGGTCCTCCTCCAGGAAAGATGCAAAAGGTCCTGGGAAAATGTAGTCTGCGTCCAGGATTGGGCTGCTGAGAGATTCATCGCTCGGGCTGTCTGGGGAATAGACCTGCATCTTTCGCCCTGGAAACAAAAAATAACTTCATTAAGAGGAAGCATGTTAAGAATTTCTAAAGCCTGATTTGTTATGTCAAATTAGTCCATAGTGAGAAAAGCCGCACACTCACGGATAGACTTCTCTTTTAGTGAACCATGTGATGTCCTTCTCTGTGGTTGGCAGGAGTCTGGGCTCTGAACCCCAGGACCTTCAGGGGAGGATGGTGAACAAGGTAACTGAGATTCCCAGGAGTCTCTGTTTGTGTATAGAGAGGACAGAGGGAACGACAGGGGGAGGCTAAGGGCGGCGTGGAGAGGACGACACACTGTTGTGACAGCACGAGGCTTTTCAGTTTGTTCCTGCAAAGAAGTCCTGGTGCCATTATGGCATTCAAGCTCACCGTCACACACAGGTGTATGAGAGCTCAAATTCAACGTTGTTTCATGCTTACTGTCTGTCCTATGGCAGCCGTTCTGCATGTCGTTTAGTTCATTTAGTGTGTGTCTGAAGCCGTTCAGGGGTGGGGAGTGTGTTGTGCATTGTGCGTCTGGAATAACAGTTGACCTTGGAGAACCAAGACCGTTTAGTTTAGGAGTCACTGGTGGTTGTAGCTCAATAAAAGCCAATGTTTCCTGCTGGCACACAGCAACATGCTTGTGGTGGCACGGTAGGAGGAGAGGCCTGTCCTCCTGGGCCTCGCTGAGAACCTGGGAATCTCCTGAGCCAGGGATCCACATGCTGGGACTCTCTCCTCGGCAGTGAAAAGCGTAAAGGTGGGGCTGGAAATCAGGAAAAGGTGAGAGTCCATACCCAGGGAGCATGGCTGAACGAACACATAGGAGCTGCAAAAGAGAGAGTATAACAATTTATACGCTTTATCAAAAAATCCTGTTGTCTATAACATTTTTTCAGGCCACTATTCCTGCAGTAGAACTGCCAACAGCCACTCAGACAGTAAACACAACATGATCTTTTTCTCATTTCATTTGACTTTCTTAATGCCTCATTTAAATGTAAATTCAGGAATTCACTTTAGAATAGCTTTTTAAAAATCTTTAAGTCTTAACTTATAACTTACTTAATAATTCAGGAACTGTATGAAACGATCAGTGTAGGGAGGGGGGTTGAATCTCATGTTCAGTTTTTAAAAGAGGCAAACTATATAGATTTTAATGATGCACCTTAACCCTAATATGTTAACGGTAGGATAATGTCATTATTTTTGTCTTTTTTTTGTTTTCCAATAGAAACAAACACTGAATTATAGTTATTTAATAAAGAGATTACAAACAGTTCAAATCATCAAATCCGGGTAGGAATGTGTCGCTCACTTAAATCATGTGAGAAGAATGGGCTCAAATTGCCAGTGCAGTATGTCTTTTGAATAAACCTTTGTATTCACTGTAGTTTTGAATAGTTGTATTCACATATTAGGGTCTGTAACATCTGCAATAAGGAAATTAGGAGTATTTCCACAAATACCACAAATAAATACTTTAAACAGATTCAAATCTCTGTTTTCTATGATTAGTTTTCAAGCTGTTCATGTGGACAAAATGGATTGGGATGATTGCCTAATATTTGGTCAATTTCTTTATAAATACTTGAAGCAATCAAAGGAGCAAAGGAGGGAAAACTGTAATGTTTCTTTAAAACATTAACTGGTATATTATGATATAAGTATAATATCCAGTACAACAACAAACCACTTATGCGGCAAACATGGTTGACTGGACACAACTCACTGTTGGCAACTTGGCTTAGTGTTGCCAGAGGATTCCACTGACTCAACCGAGTGTTACACAGTAACAGTAAACAGCGCTGGGTACGTTGCATAAACTATTCAGACAGTCTGTGGATGTTTAGTTGATAGAGTTGGTATATGAATGACTTGCTGAAATGGCTTCTGTATATTTGTCAGATTCAGGCAGTCTCATTTAAGATGTTTATTAGACACACACACCCTGGATGGACCCTGAAACTTCTGACATGTGCAGGATGTTTCCAAGTAAAATCGAGTCTTTACTCACAGACACACACTCACACTTATACATTCTGGTGTAGCGTTGTCTCCTGAGCCGTGTCTTCCTGCTCTAATTAAAGACCTCTCTACAGGCGGCATTCAGTCCCTGTACTTAACACACACACACACACACACACACACACACACACACACACACACACACACACACACACACACACACACACACACACACACACAGCCAGCTCCAGACAGAATCCCACAGCACAGACAGACAGAGGAAGTGAGCCCGTCCTCAGCACTCTCACCTTTCACCTGAGATCTATACTCATCCATCACTCTGGTCTACCTTCCTGTCAGCTAGCCAGCAGGCACCTTTTCTGATTGAATTATTATATTTACAGGTAAAACCCAGCAGTGGGTAATGACGTGCGCTCTCCTGACAAACTGCTAAAACACACACTTGTGGAACTTGTGTCTTCTTACCCTCCTGCTTCCTGAACAGGTAATCCTCAACTACTGACTTAAACACCAGGTAAAAGGGACTGCATGTACAACACACACAGTCTCGTACGTATGCAGAGGGATGGAGAGGTAAACTGTTTTCTATAATTTTTTCCCCACATTTCTCCACAGTCACAGGGCCAGATCATTTTGTTATTGTAGATTCAAATTACTGTAAAAAGCAGCACCTCATAACCAAAAGAAATTACTATACACCATTCTTCCATTTTCTGGTGATAAAGAGGTATAGGCTGTCTTACACTTTTGTGCTTTTGGGAAGAAGTATGCTATTTACAGTAGCATTTAGCCTATCAATTAGCCTTGCTAGCATTGCCACCATAACTACTTTCAGAGTTGATTTCCTAAAGCAAAAAATGCGATTTAAATATCCAGGATAAATACCATTTGCATATGCAGTGCATACTCAGGAAGTAAACTCTACCAAAATCTGGAATCTACCAAAACTACACTTAAAAATCTGCTATATACTCTCAAAACATAAAATTAGTGAGAAGGTTGTGATTGTGTGAATGTTAATTGTTAACTTTTTATCTCTTTTATCTATGTGTTCACAACCACACACATAAACACACCGCAGGCTCTTTTCTATGGATAATTGTAAGAAACGATGCCCTCCAATTCATGTATTTGTAATTTAGAGTTTAATTATCATACTGACACACTGTAAATCTTTACGAGATATGTTTACCCATTTACTTTACAGTGTGTAGTATAACATTAATCTGGCATGTAATTTACATGAGGATAAAAACATAAAATGATGTGTTTCCTGAAAGTCTAACTTTGTTTATAAAGAAATTCCTGGAGAATCACAGACGGGAAAGAGTTTACCTTCCTTTTTACTGAGCGCACATGTGCTGTATGCTGAGGCTGGTAGGCAGCCCAGTCAATCCTAACACACACACACACACACACACACACATACACACACACACGCAGCATAGCAGGCACAAAAGTTACCTGTTCCCTGCTGCAGACAAAGGCATCCTTTATCTGTGTTCCTGGGCCAGGCTGCCCTGAGCACAGGACACCTGAGAGGGTGTGGGAACTGCTTATACTGATCCACTCATATAGTGCACCCACTGAGCCATATAAACACACCAGACCACTGCTGCATAATGACACAAGCTTATTGGTGTCTGGATGCGATTACTGGCTCGTTATACTGTAATCCTGCTGTCGATGTACAGTATTAACCAAACTTTACTTACCTCTATCTACACTGTCATATGAGATTAAACATCCATTATTTCCTAGTCTGCAGTGTATTGTCTAGAAAAACTGTAATTCAGTATCCATGATCATTCCATCTTTCAATGCTATCCTAATAAATGAATGTTCCCATAATCCTCCACCAACAGCCAAGTCGTCATAAATCAACAAACTGTTTGTAGAAAATTAGTTATCTGCTCATTTGATCAAGAAACCTCAAAGATCCCCAAAACTGACTATAAACCTCAACATTCATTTATCAAATCATGAAAGCATCTGATTACACATAGTGCACATTCCTGACACTGATACAATTATATCACTCTATTAAAATTTCAATTCCAAAGACATGTAATTTCCCTTGTCATAGCAGGGTGTTATTTGTGACTGTTATGGACTTTGCTGCCAGTGTTTCCCCCTGTAATTTCACTAGGCTGCTCTAAGACGCCATGTCTGCATTCAGCAGTTAATGAATGGCACTCTGGCATGCCTTTAATGCCAGCAGCCGTACGAAGAGCATTTTTAATTGTGATATTTTTCATCTCGAAGGTCTCAGAATAATCCTCCAATGGAGTGCATCACCTTCGTATGAACATAAATCAATTGCTGATTCAGCTTCATGACAGAGCCAAAGGTTGTGTAATCGCATAATTAAAGTTTGTTTGATGAAGGGGGTGGGGTGACAGTGTTAAAACAAATGGATTCACTGTTCAGCTGTTTGTGGTTCATGGAGGTGGAAGAAACACATTTCTACACTGTTTACTTTTCTAATGTTAAGGAGTGGGATCACTGCTTTAAAGTGGCCGTGTGGAAGAGGCTTAATGTTTCAGAGAAGAAAATGATTATTATATATATGTGCCTGGCTTATACAAGTCACCATTAATAGTCTGTGTGCGGATGTGGGTTTTACTGTCTATAAATGACTCAGCAATTTGATGAAATTTCTTGAAAACAGAGATCGACTTTGTTTTGCTCAGTAAGGTCCTGCAAGGCTGACTAGGCATTTGCTCGGCTCAGACATCACTTCAAGTTGGTTAAACATCAACATATCATTCAGACATCAACATCAACCTTTCCTAGATGAGATCACAAATTGGGGCCATGATCAGCCTTTGCCTCTGATTTTTGAACTCGAAAAATATGGCAGCTGTTCTAGAAATCTCAATTTTCACATTGCATTTTATGGTTCGGCAGCTCACGACCTACAATCAAAGCACACGTTTCACGTCATCAGGTAGTGGTTTTCTAAGGCCCAGTACACCCTGCATTAAAAATAGTGTGTTATTAATATCAACAACTTCCATGAAAAAGACTCAAACCAACACTCAATCGATCCAGCTATGAACATGTGCAGTGTTTTAAGTCATTCTGACATACACCATCCCACTGCTTTAAATACACCATATGCATATTTATCCATGTCAGAAAATAATCTCCCAAAGATACAGTTTTTTACTCTTGTTTCAGTTTTGCTACAACTACAGTGCCATGCTTTTTCATGAAATAATTTAGTTTCCTTCACTTTTTAAAAACTATGAAACTACATATTTGTGACGTTTTTCAAAATGTATGCGTTCAGTAGAAATCAGTGGGTTTTGGGCTGGATGCCACAGACAGCATGATGAAGTTAGAAAGTACTGAGAAAAGGTACTTAAAAATATTCATATAAAAAAATATTAATATGTTTAATTGTGTCAAATAATGGATACATGTATTTTTCCAGCCTCATAGCACGAGATAAAACAATTAACACCCTGCGAAGTTGTGGCCCTGCTTTGTAGCAGGGTTGATTGCGGCCAACCTCCCTCAAGATGCGACAGACTGGGGCTAACTGTATTTTTAGAGATTCAGATCTGGTTAAGGGCGATGTATTACGTTGGTCCGGGCTCTCTGGAACAAACTGCTGATCTGAACAGTTTTCCAGCTACAACTAAACTTGTAGGATAAAATTCCAAGAGACATTTCCAACCTTCCCGCTTACTTTTCAGCTGCTCAAGTGCAGATAGTGCTAGAAATAGGATGACCCCACATCAGCTGTTAGGTCTGAAAGGTCTCACTCTGTTATTTTCCAGTAGTTTGCATGGTGACATACAGTATAAGTAACCTGGTTCCAGACTGAGCCAA